TCATCTTGTTACAGGACATTGCAGAACAATGTATTAAGCTCAAGACCCATTGCTTCTGCAACTCAGAACCTGTTTTAAAAGCCCTTATTTTTAGAAATGAACAGGTGTAGAATTATTGGCAGAAGAGATGAGAAAATAGCTCTTCTTTATCAATATATTTTCTTACAAAATTCAGATTAACTTCTTTTCTACCTTAACAGCAGTTGGTACTGAATGTTGTGGGACACCTGGAGAATCTAAAAGACCTAATTACATTTGAATAAATCCTTTCTGTGCCTCTGAAATTCAGGAGCCTGTGTAGGCAGACAGTGGGGTTTTGGCAGTGACAGGAAAAGGAGCATTAATACAGTGCAGGGCTGACAGTCCCCACCTCCCTCCAGGCTTCTTCTCCCAGGCAAAAAAGGAAGCTCTGCTTTGCCCAATCATCATCATCATCATCATCATGGCTAGGCTTCGCGAACGAAGATTTGGGAAGGCTCTATCCGCATTTGCTACAGGCGCGCTGGTGGCTTATGAGGCCAATTGGGCTTATTTGCCCAATAAACAAGTTTTCATTACTCCTTTCGAAGCTATTTTAGTTAAAATGCACCACTAATTAAGCATTTTAGATCATGAAACCCAGCTTATTAGAAATGAGAACTGACAAAAGGCAAGAAATCAATTCTTCCTTGAGACTTTTCCCCTCTGTCTTCAGGACACCTCCTGCTGTAAAGTTATCTTTTGCTAATGAGAAACTTTACAGTGGTTCCACAGCTGGATTACACGGGACTAATGTCTACCTCCACTCAACTAAGATGTCCAGTCTTACTTCATGGCTAGGCTTCGCGAACGAAGATTTGGGGCAGTCTTACCTAACACTCAGTAAAAGAAGTTTATTCCACTTTTGCCTGGAGAAATCCTTTATAGCCACAACACCGAAACCTGAGGGGTTTCTGACAAGCAGGTGGCTGGGCTGGGTTTTGGTTGTTCTGAAGGCACAGGGAGTATGTTCATCAATGATGGAAACGAGTTTGCTACCCAGTCCCTTTTCCTGTCTCCCAGATATCAACGAGTGCGAGACAACCAACGAATGCCGGGAGGACGAGATCTGCTGGAACTACCACGGAGGGTTCCGCTGCTACCCCAGAAATCCCTGCCAGGAGCCCTACGTGCTCACATCCGAGAAGTAAGAGGGGAATTCCTTCCCTTTCGGCTCCCCCGGAGCAGGGAGCGCTGTGCTAACGTGTTGTGCCCCTGTGTGTGCCCCTGTGTGTGCCGCAGCCGCTGCGTGTGCCCCGTGTCCAACGCCATTTGCCGGGAGCTGCCCTACTCGGTGGTGTACAAGTACATGAGCATCCGCTCCGACAGGACGGTGCCCTCCGACATCTTCCAGATCCAGGCCACCACCATCTACCCCAATACCATCAACACCTTCCGGATCAAGTCCGGCAACGAGAACGGGGAGTTCTACCTGAGGGTGAGTATGGCTGCAGCTGCACCTACAACCCGGGCAGAAACATTTATGAGGGGATTACACACAGAGTCCCTGGACAACCACCTTAATTACATTTCTCATCTGGCACAAAAAAAAAATAAAAAAATCACTACCAGCATTCTAGAAATCAGTGCCTCATCCCAAGCTAAGCTCAGCCCAATTTACGACAGCTTTATATTAGATTCATTTAGTGCTGCAACTATTTCAGAAAACCACTTGGAACAACACTGTTTCCTGTTGGTGGGACGCATTCAAGTAGATACATATGACTCAAAGTGTCCAGAACATCTGCTTTTCGAGGGATTTTGGAGGAAATCTGATTTTCTTGGACCCTTGTAATATTTATGAATTCCTGGGAAATCCTTTTCCTTCGTGTGTAGCTTTATACTCAGTAAAACAGAATCAGCACAAAAGCTTCTGTCAGGAATATATTAATTGGAAGGTTGTCATTTTTAGTTATTTTCCTTCAAATCTGGGGGGTTAAGGGGTTTTGATCCAACAG